GATATATAACTTGATGGTGAGACGTAGTAAAGCCAATTTTAAAAAAAAGTTATATTTCTGGATAGAAATGTATGGAATTTAAGCGTTTATATTTATCATTCACGGATCATGTCTGAAGTAACTAGAACAATTATCATAAAAACTTCGTTAGGAAAATGATGTTACAGTAACATTGTTTGCCCTTACTATAAAGTTCGAAGTAGTATAATTTGAACCCAAAAATAGCTTTTAAATGTACTGCTACAGTAATGACTTCTTACTTTTTGGATATGTACTGCCAAGCTTATTATTTCCTATTAAATCAACCTTTGTGATCTTAAATAAGATTCATTAGAGTAGAATTGGTTGGAACTCGTACCGTCTATCCCTGTATTTGAAGCAAAATAAAGCAATCTCTTCTAATAGTTAAAACTTGAACTTATAACCGCCTATTATCTTTATGAGTCATGGTAGTAAGAAATAGCAAACCGTATGGAGAATGTTTTTTTCCCTTAACAGTTCAACGCGATCATCTTTGACATTTATTATTATTCTAAGAATTAAAATAAGCTCCTAACCCGATAGCGACAATTTTCTTTGCCAAAAGGCGAACTAAAGATCACAGCATGTTGTTCTTTAAAACTATAAAGTCTTTTTTATCACTATATTGCAAGATCCCGCTTGTGATTATTATTGATTGCTAGATGCATTATGAAAAAAATCCCAAGTCTTTTATTTTAACTTAAGATTAACCAGAAACTGAGAGAAGACAGAATTTATGATTAGTAATTCAGAATACAAAATACATTAACGCTGGCTCGATTTCATAGCGGTTTGATTAGATGAATCCGTTTTCATAGTTCTATTTATAATTTATAATGAATTTATGATATATAGCCAATTCAATAGGACTGACATAAGAAAAGCACAAAAAATAGTAAGGTATTACTCCCTCCGATGGATATTTAAATACAAGATATTACGTAACATATCCTTGAAATCCATAAATTGAATTCTATTAAAGCTAACAGATGTCCGAACTCATTAGTCGCTTTTGCTAAAGAAATGACTAAATTATATCAACATTATCCCTCGGATTGAATAGCAATTAAGTAGTAGTATTCTACCATAGCATTCGAATAATGCTATGCATCTTTATTTTATTTCATAAATTTTAATATTATGTTTTCCGTCTATTCAAAGCTGAATATCACAGTTCATAAGGAATCCTAAGTAAAAATTTTACGAGTTCTATTTGATTTTGACCGTTATGGCTTAGTAAATTAGAAATAATCGTTTTAAAGCAATTCTCGTAAACAAAAACAGTTTCGTTACTATAGCCATTTATGTTCAAAAATCTCTAGAAAGGACATCTAAATAATATTGATGGCCTTTAATATTAATTTATATGCAGTCGTTAGATCTAAATCAGAATTACAACAATCATAATAAACAGATCATTACTCTCCATTCCATGAAATATTAATTTTATTTTCCGGGAAATGAATCAGAACCTTGTAACATATAAAGAATTATAAATCTCTTTCTATTCGTTTCCGATCGATATTGACTAATTAATGCAAAAAGTCTTCATTAAATTAGCCATTGATACACAGATTATCTTCAAATAATATAATACTACCGATGGCTATTCATTCATGTATTATTAATTTTCTAAATCGATAGATTCAAATCAGAATAGTAGCAACTACATGTAATATTCCGATGTTCACTTTCATCGCTATTCCATTTATGATATATTATTAACGTTAACTTCACGAAAATCAATCAGAGTATTCAAATGCACAGAGAATGGTCAGGTTGATTCTATTCGATTCCGATCATTATTAACTAATTGATTTAAAAAGTGTTCAATAATTTAACTAATCATAACTAGAAAACTTTGGATAGTGCGAAACTATCGTTGGTCATCCATTTTAAGTAAATTAATTTTCTAACTTGATAAATCCAAACCAGAATAGAAATAATTATAGTAATTCGATACTGTTATCCGTTGCTATCCGCTCCGTGAAATATTATTAGCTCTAAAGCCTTGCATATGAATGTCACGGTACGCCGTTACTAATTAAGTAACTGTAAATTAATGAATGCTTATGAATAGATAAGATAAGGTTATGTGCTATGTTTTAATGCGCTTGTAGCTGATAATAGGATGGTAGAAATGAGATAAAAATAGAAGTTGTTAGCAGTTAATTTACTGTAGGTTTATAAGTTGTGTTAATCTCTAAAAATTGAGCTGTATATGGACGAAGGTTAAGCGTCTTAACACCTGATAGCTTGTAGCTATCTAAGTCTGAGAATATCGACATGTATATTTAGTAATGGTATTATACTAATTAATGTAACTTGTAAAGCATGAATTCTCACTCGTTAATATTGGAATTCACTGTAGAAACCTATTTAAGCGCGTGTGTTTGTAGAATAAAGAAAGTAATTGCTCAAGAAACGGCAAGACTCATATCGTGAAGAATAGTGTAATAATTAGTCAGTTGTCTGTGGAGATCAGCCGAGAAATCGAGTTCTCAAATACTTCTCTCATAGAAACTGAAAGTACTGGGAGAAATAGCCCAAGTTTTAAGTAACTACACTAGAGTTCTTTACTTTCCTTTGCCACAAGTGAGGGTTGTGACAATGA